TTGAGAGAGGTGTATTGGTGGAATAGTATGAAGAAGGGCATTGCAGAATTTGTTGCTAAGTGCCTAAATTGTCAACAAGTTAAAGTAGAGCACCAAAGGCTCGGTGGTTTGGCTCAGAATATAGAACTTCCAGAATGGAAGTGGGAATGATTAATATGGACTTCATCACAGGTTTACCAAGGTCTCGCAGGCATCATGATTCTATTTGGGTGATTGTCGACAAAATGACAAAATCAACCCACTTTTTGCTGGTAAAGACTACACATTCGACAGAAGACTATGCTAAGTTGTAACTTCAAGAAGTGGTAAGACTTCATGGGGTTCGATCTCCATTATTTCAAACAGAGGTGCGCAATTTACTGCACGGTTTTGGAAGTCATTCCAAAAAGGCTTGGGTTCAAAGGTGAACTTAAGTATTGCCTTTCATCCTCAGACAAATGGGCAAACAGAGCGCACTATTCAGACCTGAGAAGATATGTTGAGGGCTTGTGTGATTGATTTCAAAGGGAATTGGGATGATCACCTACCTCTCATTGAGTTTTCTTACAACAATAGTTACCACTCGAGCATCCAAATGACTCCTTATGAAGCTCTTTATGGGAGAAGATACAGATCTCCTATTGGATGGTTTGAAGTTGGTGTGAAGCAGGGTTGATAGGACCAGATTTGGTTCATCAAGCTACGGAGAAGGTGAAAGTAATTCAAGAGAGGTTGAAAACGGCACAGAGTCGTCAAAAATCCTACACTGATGTTAGGAGAAAGGAGTTAGAATTTGAAGTAGATGATTGGGTATATCTTAAAGTTTCACCCATGAAGGATGTTATGAGGTTTGGTAAGAAGGGGAAACTTAGTCCCCCATGAAGGNNTATTTTTGAAAGTTTCACCCATGAAGGGTGTTATGAGTTTTGGTAAGAAGGGGAAACTTAGTCCCCGGTATATTGGACCTTATAAAATAGCCTAGAGGATTGGCAAAGTAGCTTTTGAGTTGGAGCTACCACAAGAGTTACTCGAGGTTCATCCAATATTTCATATATCCATGTTGAAGAAGTGCATGGGCGATCCTTCATTGATCATACAAACTGAAGATATTGGAATCAAGGATAGCTTATCTTATGAGGAGATTCTTGTTCAGATTCTAGATCGCCAAGTTTGCAAGTTGAGAACAAAAGAGGTAGCATCAATCAAAGTCCTTTGGAAGAACCAATTTGCTGAGGAAGCTACTTGGGAAGCTGGGGAGGATATGAAGAAGAGATATCCACATCTCTTCGAATCCAGACAAGTTCCAAATTAAGGTACTAATCCTTTCTTGGTCTTTATTTATAAGTTGGCATGTTGTTTTCCATTTGCTTGTGGGTGCTTGAACTGAATGTTGCATGTTACACCCTTAGCCTAATAAGAGTAATCTCATTCAAGGACGAATGTTCCCAAGGGGGAGATATTGTAACATCTCACAATTTGAAATAACTAGGAAGAAGCTAATAATTGGAAATAGTCATTTTTGGAAAAAATGAAAATTTGGAAATTTTGTTTAAGTTAGAATAAATTGAGTTTTAGCCAACTTAAAACGGTCATAACTTCTAGCTCAGGATGATTTAGAGGTACTTCGAGATATGGTAGCAAAACTCTTGGAATGATCTTTACAACGTCGCTTAGTTTGGATGATTCCGAGTTTGTATGAGTGAGTTATATGCCCTTTGAATGTTGGGTTGTTGGAATAAGGAAAGTCCAATCCGGATTTTTAAAGGGTAGTTTGGTCTTTTCCTTGCCCTATTAATTTATTACGTTTTTGGTAATTAAGTTAGGGACTAATCAGAATTATATCAGTTTATGCTTTTACCAAAATACGCTAGGGCTTGGAGAGAAGAGAAAAAAATAGGAGAAAGGAGAAGAGAAGCAAGATCCGTCAAGATCGTCTAGTTTAGCTTAGTGTATTTCATCGGGGGTGATCCATACAAGGTATCTGAGATCACATAGCGTTGGGTTAGTTCACCCACGCACCAATCATGATTCAATTTCAGCAAAGTTATTAGATTAGGAAGTAAATCCTTGAGTTCTTGATGAAATTCATTGAATTCTTGTGGGTTGTGTTGTTGGAGTTT